TTGGAAATAAAAAATGGTGTTGCTATCTTTAAGAAGTTGACCAATATGAAAGAGGTATCTATTGAAATTATTTGTTTATAAGTTATGTGTATGTATTTCAATTTCAATTTGATTATTGAAGTGTTAGGGTTATGATTGAGAGTTATTTATGTATGTCGTAGGTTCCAGTTGTAGGAGTAGCCCCCCTCAATGAATAGCCACATGTTCCACTAATTGTGCAATTATAAGGTCCATGCAAAATTAAGGAGGATGTTAACATAGGGCAAGCAGGTGGCCTATACAAAGTATGTGTAATGATGTTGGCTTATATATGTGACTCTGAGTATTTCTATTTCTAATTATGTGTACATGATGATTTGATATTATTTTTTTCAGTCATGGGAAGAAAGATTTTCATCCCTCAAAAAATCAATGGCCAAAATCATGGATGACTTATCTGGCAAAGTAGATTCGGTGGTTACCATGATGGAGAAAATCGTTGATGTAGGAATTCATGAAGCAATCCATGAATAAATGTGATGGAGAGAATAAAGACATAGACAATGAAGCAATCCATGAAGAAAACTTAAATGAATCCAAGTATGATAATCAGATGTGGATTCCGCTTCAAGTGGTGCAAACACAGGATATAAAGTCTATGAAATATACACCGTGGCAACATTCAAATGTCATTGTAAACACACCTCACCTTCAACCGGCTTCACACTCATGCACCCAAAAAAATTACAACCCAAAGCTACAACAAAAGTATAGTGCAAAGGTGTTGAGAAGAAACTCTAAGCAGTAGCCAAGTAAATACTTGAAATCACCATATGATATTTTCAAGGTATGATAGTCATTATAAAATCCATATTTTTAGTAATAAAAATATATATTCCAAATCTCTAATCTTGTTTGTGTAAGTAGCAACTTTATTTGAAGAAGTATAAAAATACTATCTTGAAGAAGGAGACGACAGATATAGCAGCGGTATAACACGTCAAACCTAATAGTGGTTTAACTTGATTACAAGATTAATCGATAATGCATTATAATACTGTTCTATGTGTGTTATCACAATTGGACAATTATGGAATCTTGTTTGACAATGAGATGGAGGAAGCTAGAAATGACATGGAGGAAACTGGAAAGAAGATGGAGGAAGCTGTAAAGATGGGAGATGAAGATGAGGTGAATGCAAATGTGGATGAAGAGGAACAGTTGGAGGTAGATGGAAATAAGGAAGAAGTGGAGGTGAATGCAAATAAGGATGAACATGAGGAGATGGAAGCACTGGAAATAAGGATGAAGAGGTGGAGATGGAGGAAGCTAGAAAACAATGTAAAAGATGACAAAGCTAGAAATAAGGATGAAGAGGAGGTGAATGTAAATAAAGATGAAGAGGAGAAGATGGAGGAAGCTGTAAATAAGCATGAGACTGGTGTTAATGTATATATGGTTGAAAAAATAACAAAAGATGATGAGAAGACCGACGTGAAAATACAAAAAGTTCTCCAAGAAATAACAACTTTTCACATTCCCTCAAATATCACCGTTCACAAGGTTAATTTCGTACTCCACATTAAATGTTTGTTTAAACAAATCTTTGTATTGACTTTATTTAAACAACTGTGCCACATTTAACAATACTCTTCATTGTATTGAATAAGCAGATTTCAGATTCCACCAGTTTGTGGATCCCATCAGATGAGGATTATCCATCCATTTATGAAATTAGTGATTATGATAAAATGTGTGTCTTGAATTACATTTTTGACAATACACTTGACATGAGGTATTTATACTATATACCAATTCTCACATGTTATTCTTATATATTGTGGGAGCATCACCGGTTATTAATCCATATTTTTCATGAAACAGTGAAACATTGGTGAAATTTGAAACATGTTCTGCCAATAGATATTCATTTATTTAATCTCTACAACCAAGAAAATGGTTGTTAGACATTGTGAGTTAAAAATGGACATTTTATTTATTGTGTTTTTCACTCGTTGACCAAGTATTGATTTTGTACATGTTCACATGAAGATAATAGATTTGGCATCTTGTATTATTTCCGAATGATGTGAAGTTTAATCCTTTTACAAAAAGGTCAAGGTGGTATCTACCCACATGGTTTGCGGTAATGTGTTTTATTTGACTTTTTTAATCTTGAATATGTAAAATGTGGGTTAAATGTGTACCCATATTTGACGTTCAATACCCAGCAAAAGCACTTGGAAGGGTAAGACAAGGAAACGAACAAGAAAAAACAATCGGACTGCTTGATTGTCGAAGGTACTTCATTTCAAATTTCAAGGACTGTGTGATAAGGTACTAGATGTCCCATTTTTTGTTTTTGTTTATAATTGCTCATTTACACAATAATTAATATCTTGTATTTCTTTATGTAGATATATATACCCATGAACGACAATAACACTCATTGGTATTTATGCGTGGTGATGTAGTGAAGGAAAAAGTTTTATTATTTGATTCTCTACCATTATATCCGAACAATATCCGTTATTCTGCTGTTGCAAAAGTGATTAAACAATTAGATCAAGTATTTCCGCTTGTCATACCTAATTACATGCCAACATTGACCAAGTGGCACATATATGGAGTGGATTAGGCTCCTAGGCAAACGAATAGCTATGACTGTGGAATATTTGTCATAAAGGAGATGCATGCTCAATTTTTTGATCACTCATTCAAAATTATGGTATGATAGCTATTCTCCTTATTTAATATTTAATAGTACTAAATTAAATTTGTGTATATACCATTTGTCAATTTAACTATGGTTATTGGTTATTGTTTTTAGGATGAATCCAATACAATGCGGAAGGATCTAGCATTCAAAGTTATTACTCACATATACAACGAATCAAAAAACAAGATCATAAGGAAGGCACAACAATACCAACAAAAGAATTGTGGTAAAAATCGAAGATGATACGTGTGACATATTATTATTATTATTTTTGTATACAAAATTTGAAGTCATGTATAGTGTTTATGGCCTTCATATAGTGGCACATACTGACTGTTTTGTATAAACAAAAATAGCTAAATTGGAATCAATTCTTTTGTGCCAATGTTTTGCTTAATCAATTGGCTTGTTTTGGTGAATCAATTTTTTTTGCCTTTGTTTTGCTAGCCATGGGGTGGTGGTTGTATTTTGTTGAATTAATTTTTTTTTATGGCTTGTCTTTTGCTGACCGAGGTTTGGTGATTTTGGTGATTTGTGATGTTTGATGTGCGAAAATATGTAGACATTGTTTCTTTTTTTGTGCAAGCCATTCTTTTTAATGGATCCCTTGGCGTTTTGTCATCCTTTGTCTTATCATTTCTAGGAAATAATCAAAGCAATAGGAGTCCAGGTTAGAACATAGGAGTACGTTGATGAGAAGGATGAATATAAATATGAATAATGTGGAGTCATTCCTTATATAAGGCTATAGTAGCCAACAAACCATTCTCACTAACCATTTTTACCCATCATTCTTACCAACCATTCCCATTCAAATGGAATTCAAAGACTTTGACAAGTAGTTATACAAACGGTGTTTTTTTATTTGCAATTTTTTTGTTTGGTAGGGACTATTATATATAACATAACATAAAACATAGTGTAACTATATTGTTTTTGAGATTAATTCTATTCATCTTCTTCATTTTCATCGTCCAGGCACCTCAGGCTATTGTATGTCATAGTTACTTATATATAACCTACACCTGAATTGACATGCACACATATACAAACAACAGTGTGCACGCCATTTTCAGATGTAGGTTACATATAAATAGTTTTATTCACAATAATAGCAATGCTAAAGAGGTGAAAGTTTGCTGTTGGTGAGATATACTTGTTGCAGCTATGTGCTGTGTTTTATGATAGATTGTTCTTTTATTTTTTTCCATAATGTGACTTCATTCACATTAATATGTTCACATAGTAAGAACAGGTTGTCGGATATCATGGCCATATGGTGTACCAGTGCTATTTCAATAAAGCATGATACGAGAATTATTACATAACCCGTGCACACCTTCAGAAAGTGTTGACAGAGAAGGGTAAGCAATTGAATTTTCCCCAACTCTATTTCAATTTTCCTAGTATTCTGCACTACCAAAAAAATCTGGTAACATTACTCCAAAAAAGAGGTAATATTACCAAAAAAAAATTACAGGGAACCTTGAAAAGTGGTAGTCGTACCCAAAAAAATTGATATTCTTTCCCCAACTTAGAAAGGCAATACCCACAAATCTGGTAACATTACAACACCCACATTGAAATGTCTTTAATAAAAAAATTTTAAGAAAAGAAAATTTTATTGATATGAATCAAAAAATTGCAAGAAACAAAGAGCATTGCACCTTACAAGAATCAAAGAATTCATGAATAACAAACAAAACATAGCCATATTTGGCTTTAATCCTTCAAGATATACAAGTATTACCAACATTATTTCTAGTAAACTCTCCTCCACCATCCACTACAGTATACCTCATGTAGCTTCATTAACCACCATCATCAAAAACCAAACCAGTCTTGGTTCGCAAAGTAGGCAGACAAGTCTGATCTTGAACCAAACTCATTCTAACAGCATTCTTCCCAAAATCTGCCTGATCTGTGTGAGAAAATCAGTAAATGGCCAAGCACATTTCACTTCTCCTTTAATTGTTTTCACAAAAACCATAAAATCTGATTCAACCTGAATATTATAAATAGTCAAACCATATCTTTCTACCAAACTCAATCCATCCACCATGGCTCCAAATTCAACTCCCATATTCAAACAAATACCATAGGAAAAGGACGCAACCGAAACCACTGCCAAAACTCTATTTATACACAATATGCACTAGAAAAATTACAAAATTACATCATCTATTTATACACAATAAGAGGTGAAAGTTTGTTGTTGGTGAGATATACTTGTTGAATGAGCCATATTTGGCTTTAATCCTTCAAGATACACAAGTATTAACAACATTATAATAGAAAACTCCTACAACTGTCCCACTGCATACTCATCAATGGCATCGACCATGTAAAGGACCTCATACCCCTTCTTCTTCAACTTCTCAAGGAATGGAGAGTTCTCAAGGAATTGTAGGACTACGTCAAGGGTTTCCACACATATGAAGGCTGGATAGTCATTGTTGAGACTTCCCTGGGCTGCACTACCCAGCCAAAACAGTTTCACATTTCTGCATAGGCAGAAATTAAACGAGAACAGTCATATGGCACACTAACTATGATTTGAAAAAAATTTAATTCTGCCATTGTGAATAGATAGTTAAGTATGACTTACAGAACCCAAATGGCCAGAATGCCCACAGGTATAGCAGGAAACTAGTGTTGGACTCTTATTTATATATTCAGCACAACAGAGATAGCCAAAATCCTTGCAGACATAGCACTGAATTTGCTGTCAGCATGGAAACACACAATAATCACAAAAAGAGTATTCCAAATTCATTTGGTTATATTGGGGACTGGACCATTTGCCATTGGTGGCATGGAAAGGCGCTACACTCAAAAAAGAAAAGAATATGCAAAATTTAATACCCTGAGATCATCAGAAATATACTCATTGCTGCATGAGACAATATTGTGTCCTGAATTGCCACATCTTAAATAGATATCTAAACTTTGATCCTCTGCTGCATCTTTATCTGGACAAACTTTGGTGAGGCAACCTTTTCGATTGTAGATATGTGGTTCATACTGCTGCAAGACCCTAAACAACAGGTAAAAAGAGAAAAAGAAGAGCAAATGCGAATAAAATCCAAAAGGGTACATGCTTTGTTTTTCCATTGGTCTTTGTAACTCTCAGAGCTTTTAATTTCAAGATGACTTCAAGATAATTTCAAGATTCACACTAAGAAGAATCATGCAGAAAGGACAAACGCTTGAGTTTTGATGACGCGATGAAAATGTGAAGGTAAAACAAAATAATATTGCAAACAATATATTTTAAACCTACTTGCATCGCGTTGCATTGTGCTTAAAACCACAACATATATAGCATGGTTTCTTCCGTTTTCTCATAGTACAGTTTGCTGCTGTGTGATCATCTTCACCACAATTGTAGCACATCCCCCAACTGCTTTCTGGGGAATCAAAATATCTTGGATCCCGCTACAACATCAATATAGCATGTATTTAATGGGGGCAAAATAAGCATTTACATCAAACAAGTCCTTGTACTTGTAGGTTAACTCACGAGAAACTTTCGAAGCACCATATTGTCATTTCTCTTAACTAGTTGCATTTCTAGCGATGTCTTTGTTTTTGGATTTGTATTTGAATCCATCTACTTCTCTTCCTCCACAGTATGAGTCTAGAGCAACAAAATTGTTAGAAGGCATCAGTTTAAGAAACTGAAAGGAAATTTAATTCTCATCCATCTTTTCTTAAAAACAAATGAGGTGCAGTCCTACAGAGATCTAGTGCCACAACATAAAATTCAAAATGTGAGCTGAGTAAACCAATAAAATATAGCATACAAAAGGTGAAAGCACGAACTTATAAACGACACTTGTAAGGGTAAATATAGAAAACATTCTAAGGAAAACTCAGTCCCAAATTTTTTTTTGAGGAATATGAACCACAAACTGTGTCACATGCATCACCATTAGGAATTGCTTCCAAAACTCCACAATATGGAGAAACTTAAAAAGAAGAAATAGCTTCTTACAGTCTAAAACGAGTGCCTCCTCATGATCTTTAGAACAAAACTACAAAGTGTAGCCTGGACAGGCAAATAAAGCTTGAGCTTAAAATTTAATCCTTCTTTCATAAGCATGGACATGGACAAGGGTGACAGACATGACACAAAACTCAACATGAAAAATCTTCAAGTAGGAGACAGACACGGAAAGAACATGGAACAAACATTGAAACCATTGCTTAGCATGGGAATCACACTGGTTATAGGAAGTGTTTCTTAGAAAAATCTTCTAAATTCTGATTATCTCATAAGATGCATAATTAGTGTAACGCCCCAAAAACCCCCGTGGGTGACATTACAATCTAAAAACCATTTACCGTATGAGAGCATTAAGTAAAATTCATCACGACGAAAGTTTCATTCATCAACCATTCATATTTTAACAAAATTTGGGCAGAGTCTCCTTTGTACGGGGAGCTCTACCCAAAACACAACATGTACAATTATATTACAATTGACCACACCGGGTCCACATATGCATAACTATTGACCACACCGGGTCCATTTTTCCATCATAAAATAAACTTTCATTCATCATATGTCATATCCACACTATCATCCCAAATTAATAGGTCTAATCTTGGCCTTTACATCTCCAAAATGTAATAATATAACGCAGCGGAAATAACATAAATGAACTAGAGTTCAAAAGGATATTCTAAGCATAATCTAGTCTAGAACAAAATAAAAGTGTCGCTCTAAGCGTCCACCTCGGGATCCACATCCCCGTCAAGCGGAGTCTTCCAATGGGTGGGCTCCTCGGCTCCTAACTCCTCCTCAAGTGTGAAATCTGAAAAAAATTTATTTGTAGGGGGTGAGCACGAAGCTCTGTAGCAAAATCCTCTCAACTCAAACAAGGTTTGAAAAACATAGCAAACGGTCGGTCTCATTTCACAACTAACATATATATAGGTTTGGAATGAAAACAGTGACATTTTAAAAGAGATCTCAAGTTTAAACAATAGCAATAATCAGTTAAGAGAATAAAGTGAGTTTAGCATCGATAAACAAAATTCTAATTTAAGCTATTTAAGAAGGGCTTCTCCCTAAGCATTGTCCCATACCAATGCATCGGCAAGAACGACCCAACTCCCGATTCCATGTATTTTTGGTTCATCCCCATACCATGTATGTTGATTGCTTCTCGTGAATCTACCTAACGATCATGCCTAGTCCACCAATTCCAACCAACAATCAGAAATCTCTTTAGGAAGGGCGTGTACCGTCTCCTACGGCATTGACGAAATCCTCCCAAGGTGTCTAGTATACTAACCCTTTTCCTCGGTGTATATGTGAACAATAGTGATCGCGAGCACAACAACGATCCACTACGAGCATTAGGCAATCATCTCACCCCCCATTGGGATAGACTAACCTCTAACACTCTACGGCATCTCTCGAAGGTAATCCAAGTCCATCACAACAACCATACAATGAGGAAATCAAGAATATTCACAATTCACAACAATTTCCCAAATATAGTAAAATCCCCAATTTTGTTTTCACATTTGTCATATAATCGAATAATCCAAGAAAATATGCAAGAGATCGTAATCTATATCTTTTTTTATACAATATTCAACACTAAAGTTTTAAAATCAAAGACAAAGAAGAAATTAGGAGAAAATCCTCTTTTCTTGAAAATTAGGGCTTTGAAGATAAAAAAAAAAAATCAATAGAGCTTTGGTGGTTACCCACCCTTCATATTGTTCAAAACATGGCATTTATTACAAATAGAACAAGAATCATGTATTTCATATTATATATATGAGAAGGAGAGTGAAGAAACATATATCTATATATATATATATCTAGCCTCAATGTGAGAGATTGAGAGAAAATCCCCTACCTTAAATCAAGATTCCAAGCTAAGACCCAAGCTTCAAGACCTTCTTGCTCTCCTTTCTTTTCCTCTTAATCTTCTCCTCCTAGGGTTTCAAAAGATTTGGGTGAGAGGGTAGCAAGAATGGAAGAAAATGGGAGGAGAATGTATTCTTGAAGAATTTGAAGTTTTGATTTCTACAAGGTATAAATCCCTCTTGATTGGTATTTCTATCTTCCTCTCTTCCTCTAAAATGGTTCCTAGGGTTTGGAGGGGTGAAATGAATGCTAAAGGGACGACATTAGGTTTTTATAGGGCAAGAAAATCGAGCAAAACCCGATATTTTCTGTTCAGAAAAAATCGGGTTTCCTTCGTACTGTTCACAGATTTTTGGTGCGACTTCCAGGTCAGTTTTGACCCATTTAGAGGTCGAATTGGAAATGTTTCATGAAATACACTTTTGTAGCCATAGATGTCTACTATTACCTGTCAAAATTTCAGATCAATTGGACATCAAAATATAAAGTTATGATTAAAATACTAAGCAGTGTCTATCACCCCTTTTTACCCAATTTCACTCCAATTTGGTTTTACTTCTAAAATACTTCCTAACTTCTAATACATCCCATATTACCTCTCCCAATGTTTTCCGACCTCCCGAATTCAATGGTAATGTTATTTTGAAAAAAAAAATTAATATATTTATTTAGTTACCCTTATCAATCTTAAACACATCCAAAAAAAAAATTAAGTTTGACCCAAAAGTCAATCCGTTCGAAACTCAAACTTCATGATTAATATTTCAACAATGATTCTAAGTTTTTATCCTCATTTTATTCATATTTGGAAAAATCTTAAGATATTAGTATTCTTATTTAATTTTAGTACAGGGTCTTACAATTAGCTATTTGTTGCGCCTAAGCAAGCACCCCTAATGTACCTACTAGCAGATTCCTGAATCATAAAGAAAGAGGACAAGATTAGTTAGAATTCTATATCAATATGCTACTTGGACCACATCATCTGACCCAAGTCTTTGAATTAATCCATTAATGTCCTTGAACTAACAGTTGATCTCATCCAATATTAACACCTTTTAGATAAGCAATTCAACAAAGTTATGACCTTACTTACACCTCAATCAGTGCACTTCCATAGTCATATACGTATAGAGAGAGCACAAATTATCTTTAAAACTTACTGGGTGCCTCTGGGACCCATCATTCTCAAACACCATAGCTGGTTTTGTTTCCAACACTTTTCTTATCCTCCCAGTTTCTTCCACCTATACCAAGGCAAAGTTTTAGATGTTGATTACAAAAGGCCGCTGTAAACAAAAGATGATTTCAAAGAAAATGATTTCATATGCTATTTAAAACAAATAAAGCAACCTTTTTTTGTTCTTTTTTCCTCCTTTGACAAATGATTATATTTTCTTAAAAAAAAACTATTTGTCTTCTGCAACTAAAAATGTTGTGTGTTTTGAGAGAGAGGGGGGCAAAAAAGATAAATTCACATTCCCACAAATAAATGAGAGATTCAATCTAACAATCTGAAATCCATAGTTCTTTAAAAAAATGTGTGAAATTAGTATTAGAACATACCATTGCATTTGGACCTACAGAAAGAGGTATCATTTGCTGCTTCTTCCTCCTCTTGTTTCTATTTCCACTCTTGCTCTTCTTCCTCATTCTTGCCCTGAAAGCCAACATCGCAGTGAGCTGTGGGAAGCTGCTAAAATCCGCCAACATTTTGCGTTCTTTGGATTTAGTCCTATATACATACTCCTCTTTAACCCCACCACCACCATTCGATATAACAGTGTTGAACAACTTTCCCTCATTCTGATCTTCTTTTGCCTTTCTACTCTCTCTCTCTGATCCATTATTCTAATCATTTTTCACAGCTTCATCACAACTGCTATCCAGTGAAATCACTCGTATTTCAGATTTTGAGTTCTCATTTGCTGCCATTTTCTCTGGTTCCTCTATAACCCAACAACCAATATTTGATATAATGTTGTTCAACACTTTGTCCTCTTCCTATTCTTCTTCTTCTCTAAATTCTCTCTCCAATCCTTTGTTCTGATCATTTATCAAATCAGAATTATACTCATTACTAAATGAGAACATATCGTGCCCAGAATCGCCACATATTAAACAGATAACTAAACTTTGATCCTCTGCTACATATTTCTCTGGAAAATCTTTAGTGAGGCAACCTTGTCCATTGTAGATATGTAGTTCATACTGCCACTATAAGACCCTAAACACCCAAAAAAAAGAATAAGAGGAAATGTGAATGAAATCCCACATGGAAAACTGCAGAAAGTAACATACCTTCTTCATTCCTAAATTCTTTGAACCTTTAAGGAAAGAACATTTGCAATGTTATTCTTTGTCAATTTTAAACCTTACATACACCTCAATCAATGAGAGATTCAATCTTACAATCTAGAATTCATAGTCAGCAAAAATAATGCCTGAAATATTAGTATCATAACATACCATTGCATTTGAACCTACAGATTCAATCTTTTGCTGCTTCTTCCTCCTCTTGTTTCTGTTTCTTTTCCCTCTTGTTTTTGTTTCTTCTCCTGCTCTTCTTGCTCATTCTTGCTTTGAAAGCCAACATCACAGCGACCTATGCAAAACTGCTCAAATTCGCCAGCATTTTGCGCTCTTTGGCTTTGGTCCTATATACATATTCCTCTTTAACCCCACCACCACCATTTGATATACCGGTGTTGAACACCTTACCCTAGTTCTGTTCTTCTTGTTCTGCTTCTCTGCTCTTCTTCTACTTCTCTGCTTTCTCTTAAATCCTTCATGTCAAACATTTTTCATAGCTTCATCGTCACAGCTATCCAATGAAATCACTTGTATATCAGTTTTTGAGTGAAATCACTAAACTACAAACAGTTTTAATTTATTTTTCGTTATTCTGTGTCTAAAGACACGAGCAATTAGACACAAGCAATTACTAGTATAATAATATAAATGAACAAATTAATTACCAACAAATGCATAACAAAATTTTAGGTTTTTTCAAAATCTAAAACACCCAAACTATAACATTTATTCAAACTATAACAAAACTTATCAAACTTATTTAAAAAAATATAACATTCAAAACACCAATTGGCTAAGTTGTGGGGGGCAGGTTGCACAGAACGGAAGAGGGGGGAAAGGGTCTGCGTAAGAGGGGAGTTTGGGTGGGGGAGGTGTTCTTTGTGTGTTCTTGGGGGTGGGTTGCGCTTTTCCAGAGGGTGAAGAGGGGAGGTCTGTGCAGAAGGATAGCTTTGAGGGGAGGTGGGTTTGTGTCTGAGTGTGTATATTGAAAATAGGGACTGGAAAAGGAGGGTTTGTGCATGTGGGTTTCAAGTAGAGGATGCAGAGAGGGGAGGAGAGAGAAATACCTTGAAGACGATGGCGTTGTGGCGGTGGCGTTGTGGTGCTGTCGAGTCGTGTGTGCTGCGAGACAAAGAAAGACAGGAGATAGAGAGAGAGAGAGAGAGAGAGAAAATTTCAGGCTAAGAGTTAGGCAAGGGAGGGGAAGCGTCTGAGAAGAGGGAGAAGTGAAGAGTTGGTTTCATGGGGAGCGTGTATTGCGTGTTGGGGAAGCCTCCCGTCAAAGTAGAAATTTGAAACAATTAATTGAAAATTTGTAAATAAATGATTTTTTTTTATTAGAAAAAAAAATCGTTTAATAAAAAAAGTGTTCCTGTAAAATAAATAAATTCCTCACATATTTAACTAAAATAATATCTATAAAATCCTAGCATAAAACAAATAAAATTAAATATATTTAAATCATACCTAACCAAAAATAATCAAGTGGTAAATGTACCAAAGTTGTAATATTATCTGGTGACCTTACTCAAATAGTGGTTAACCTAATAATTGTAATACTATCAAAAAAATCTTACCCACAAAATCTTGCCAAACCTAACCCCGATTTATGGTATCCTTTTCCAAAAATAGTGGTAATCTTTTTTTAAAAAATTTTAATTTTACACAAAAGTAATAAAATTATCCCCCATAAATTGCAGATAAATATTAACCAAAACTCGCAAATAAATATTAACCAAAACGTGGAATGCTTGCCCTAAAAATGGTAACCATACTCAGTAGAAGTGGTAAATTTTCCCAAAAAAATAAAAATAACAATAAATTAATATTCGATCTCATGAATAAAATAAAACACATTGGAAGTTGAATCTATCAACACTTATATTTGGTATGACTATTAAAAGTATACAACATGAGATTTAATTTAATCAAATTAACATTCAATTACGAGATGTAAAAACAATATGTTTTGTAATCAAATTAACATTCAATTGTGTTCTTACAAAATTACAAAATTACATCATCTATTTATACACAATAACATACTCCTAACTGTAACTATAAAACATATGCACTGCCAGAACTCTTTATGTGACAACTCAAAAATCGGGGGTCCTTAATTTAACAAAATTTGGGCAGAGTCTCCTTTGTACGGGAAGCTCTACCCAAAACACAACCTGTGAATCAAACAATCACATGACTCATCCGAGGTTCAATATACAATATTGACCACACCGGGTCAATTTAAAAGTAAACATTGACCACATTGGGTCTATTTAACAGTAAACATATAATAGCATGCAAGATTTCATTAAAACAGTCCAAAAACCAACTTAGTGAATGTTTTGCAAAAACATAGTTTTTCACAATAAAACTCTATATATACAAGTTCCATTGCAAGTAATTCCATATAATTACATGTCCAAAAACAAAATTTTTACAAAACTTTAAAACAAAAGCCACATTCCGGCTTTCTTCATCTATGGGGCTCGGATTGGGAGCCTTCCACCGGTGTGTATCCCGCACCTAAAATGTTTCCCGTATAGGGTGAGCTAACGCTCAGTAGAGTTATTCCTACAGAGACTACTTTCCACGTAAGTGCATATGCAATGTTTACATTTAACATTCATACCAAACAACATTCCAAACAAAGTATAAAATTTTATGTTGGAATTTCATCATGTCATACTATGGAATGAAATGAGATTCACTCATGCACATCCACCCGAGCCCTCACCGACTCCCATTACACAATGCAATACACGTGTAAAAACCTTTATCATTGATGGAATACATCCAATGATCATTTTTGAAATACAAACTATGTGTTTATAAAACCAACTCATTTTTTGGATGTTTCCCTTCGAATGAATACTTTATATTACAAAATCATGTGTCTTTGTTGGGTATCAGATTCCAGAATCACACCGATTGGCTCCGTACGCCATTAAAATTTTTTGGAATTTCATCTCAGGGAAGTGTGTGAACCAAGTAGCCGGGTTTTTCACCAAAGGGAGTGTCTAGCCCTTCTTGTTATACTCGACACAAGTTTTTCTTATGCAATCATGTGACTCCCTTGGATCTTCAATCCCACATTTTCGAGTCCACATATCAATCACCAAGAGTGGTGTTTGATTAAACCATGCATACAAACCCACACTCATGCCTAAGCCCATGAATGTGATGTCAACCTCATGCCCAATATGCAAAGATGTCAAATGAGCAATTTCAATAGCCATGACATATCCATGTGTAATAAATGCTATATGGATTATTTCTATCACATTTCAATACTTACATTTCCAATGTAAATCATCTCATAAGCATATGATTTCAACACACCATAACATCAAGCATGTTATTTCAATTTCATCAAAATGACACTTCAATCATTCAAGGAATTTATCAAATCCCTATACATGGCATAATTTATATAGAAACATAACATGCCCACATAAACTAGTCCCAAAATAGTCCACAAAATAGCCCATAAAATAGCCCACATAATAGCCCCTTATGAACACTATAGGCTAGAAATGAACTCGAGTAGGAGGGAACCCTACCTCTTGAAGCGTAAATCGAAGGCTAGAACTTCAAGAACACCAACCAAAACCTCCAAAACTTGATTTCTCCAAAATCTCCCTTTTGAATCTTCGATGAAATCATTCGTTCTTGGTGTGGTTGCGTAGACCTCGTCGATGTGATCGACTTTAACTCTTAGCTTGACGGATTCCGACCGACAGAACTCCGAGAATTGAAGGAGAAAGCTTGAAGAAAATTGATTTTTCCTCTTTTCTCTCTTCTCTCTATCAAACATCTGATACAGCTGGCCAAGGGGTGGAAAAATATCTGATTTTTCAGATATTTGCTCTTATTTATACTTTTAATTACATGGTCCACATCGCCCCGCACGTTTACTACTTCCGGGTCCATTTTTCATCCCGAAATAATTTATTTCATTTCGGTTTAAGTTTAAATTAATTTTATTTAAAATTTTATTTAATTATAAGAAATTTTATTTTTGGGACCTTTAAAAGGTTATTTGTCACCCAATTGTCTCGTAAAATGTGTAAAATTCGACTATCTCGAAATTCGACAAAAAATGACATGACAGTTCAATTTTGTGATACGAATCCAATAGTGAGGTCCATTGGGTCATCCGAGCTCTAGAAAAATATGAATTTTAAACCTGCGTTATAGTGACAAATTACCATTTTGCCCTTTTCCGAAAAAGTTCAAATTTTCCCGAGTTTTTACACTTTAATTCCACTTTGTGGGACTGTGTCAAGGGCTTCCACACATATGAAGGCAGGATCATCCTTGCCGTGACTTCCTTGTGCTGCACAACCCTGTCATAGTGGAAATAGAGTTATGGTTTCAAAACAAAAACAGCAAGTCCAAATACAAGGCTTTCAAACACTCCTCCCATCTTCACAGAACTGAACTACATCCCGTTTCAAACAAATCAATACTTAACATTAAGTCATACAAATCACCAAAACCTTCAACACTTAACCCTTGTCATTGAACACCATTAGCTTCTTTTTACCAAACATAGGCAAAGCTTGCTGATCATAACAAAAGGCTAAGCCAACCTCCCAAGGTAACCTCAAATCAATAGAAAAGTCCACAAATCTCATGTTCCAAATAGCATATCCAGCCACCTTGTCAGCAACATAATTCACTTCTCTATAAACATGCACCAGGCAAAATTCTAGGTACCTCAAATAAAACAATGTTTGTAAGTATATGAAATGAGATAATAAATAAAACTCTAATTGTGAAAAGATATAAGATGAAATTACTTATTAAAGATGTATATATATAGCATGAGGTTGGGCTAAGTTATTAATAGGGATGGTATAAAAAAAATGAACTTAGTAGTTTGATAATAATAAAAAATTAAATGGGATAAAAATAAATATGCGGGGTGGAAATAACCCCACCCAAATACCCAATAATAAAATACCTAACTCTATAAAGATAAGTGTCAATAC